CCTTCCGCTGCCGCCCCTGTCAGCAGCCGGGGCGCGGGGTAGCTGTGGAAGGGTGGTAGCTGGCTTTTGGCTAAATTCACCTTATTCTCGATTATTTGGGTTTATGCCGTCGGCTCAAGCACGCAGAGGACGGTATGGCTCGCTCCCGTGCGCGTTTTGGAACCCAAATAGTTTCACGCTCCGTCTTAGATTAGCAGATTTAATTGAGTTTATTGACAAACTGTTATACAAGTCAGCTAAACCCTCATTTCACTAAGTACTAATAAAACACTCGGCATAAGAACATGGTGCAGCTTATGGTGCCAATATTTAAAGAAAATCTATGTTTATAGTTATCACCTACTGACTTGATGGACCACAGGATTGAATTCTTTGACTGTAGTGTTTCAGTGTTCTTTTATTGTCCTTCCAGGGATTATCTTAAGCTCGAAACATCGTTGCTTTGACTAGCTCGCTTCTGCAGGATGCCACACAAGATCGGCTTTATAGTTGTTAGTTCGTCGGGACACGAAGATGGCTTCAGCGCAAAAGAGCTGATGGTTCACGCGCCGACGGTGAATGGATGGCGATCACCCAGGTATGGCCAGCGGGAGGAACGCGCGTAGTTCTGAAGCGCTGAGTTTAAAATGAGTGGGAGACGCACCATGCGTGGTCAGAGTAGTTTACAGCATCCCAGGCCAAACTGATTATAAAACCAAAAAAGTTACTTTATTCCCATGGAATCCTTATCCTGGGGAAAAAGTGCCTTGGTTACCCCCTAAAGGCATCACGTTGCATTTAGTCCTTTAAAAGAAAAAAGGGAACTATTTTTATTCCTGTCAGTCTTGGAGTTCACAACTGCTTTGGCTTAGCATTAAAAATCCAGCATATCCTCTAGATACGTATAACATGCGCATGCGTGCGATGAAGCAAAGAGTGTTTCTACTCTACTCTTTGGTTTCTTTTTACAATATTTGTAATACTGAGTTAACCTATAATAACTTTGGAAAGGTTCATAATTAAATGTTACTCAAGTTGGAAGTGAAGTCACCTTTAAAAAGACGATTCAGCAATTGTGTATGTTTTCAGACTCTGTCAGTATCCACAGGAAATTGTTCTGCAGTTGGTGGAGAGATGTCGAATACGAAAACTGCAGTTGCTTGCTCACCAGTACATGATTTCAAGCAAAATTGAGTTCTACATCAGTGAAAGCTTGCCTGAATACTTTGCTCCTTATCAGTCAGAGAGGTTTCACAGACTAGGGTAAGTCAAAAAGCTCTAAAGGGTTTTATTACCTTAACAGAAGGGCCTCAGGAGGAAATAATATTCGTTATGCTTTGCATGCAGCATTGATACATTGTGCTACAAGCAGTAAGGAGATTCCGTACTGGCTTAGATCCGTAACAAAGCTGAAGACGTAGGTGTAAGAGGCATGATGCAGATGAACGCTCTTGTCAGATGACAGCACGCGTTGTGTCAGTTATGAGGGAGTTTAAACCTTATCAAAGTGCTAACCTGAGGAGCAAAAATACAGCTGTGTATTTGTGCGTTTCCCCTGCTCACATGTTACGTTTTCCTTCTCAGTTATGTCCCTCTCTCGGACAATGAAAAGACTGGTTTCAAAGCGCGAGAGTTAAAATCTGTGTATATGGATGCAGTTGGCCAGTACCTGAAGCTGATTTTCCATAAAAATTACGTCAATAAATACAACTTATATGGTCAGGTAAGTTGAGTTAAAAGCACTTACCTGGTAAGCTAGATGAAGTTTCAGTAGTACGGGACAGGCATAGAAATCTGCTCCCTTGATTCGTAGAAGCTAAAAATGTTGGTTGAAAGCTCCTGGGTTTATTTTTGATTTTTTTTAAAACAGTAACTACTAATAAGAGGTTGTAAGCGACTTGGAATCATGACCAAGTGCATGCAAGTTGTCCAGAACAAACGAGTCAAGTGCATGTTCCATTACTGCCTTTCGTTCTGAGTTTTAGACTGCACAGCGGCTCCGTGCTGAAGACAAAGTATTTCCCGTGAGAACAGCTTTGCGGTTGCTACAAAGCCACTCTTAATCTTTAGGATCTGATGTGGCATTAAGTGGAGGTGTTGTACAGCCATCCTGATACAGAAAAAGCAAATAACTGCCTCAATTCTGCAGTGACTCTTTTCACTTCCATCCCAGACCAGAAAAGGGAACAACTGATAACTGTGCAATGTGGTCTGTAGATTTGGTAATAAATTTTTAATGAAGCATGAAGTACCTTTAGCACGTGGTGCTTTTCTTTGTTTCCATACCACCCTGGAGACCACAGGTCCTATTTTTTTTTTTTTGTTCCAAGTTTTTTGTTTCAGTTTTCATAAGATATGGAAAATGTAATGACCTTCTGCATTTACATTTTCTTTAAATCTATCCCAGGTTGCCCTAGTAGCTATAAACATTATTGGAGATCCAGCAGACTACAGTAATGACAGCAATAATATTGTAAGTGCAAAGCATCCCCATCTTTTTACTGTTGCTACACGTGTTCAGTTACAGGGTTCTTGGGGTAATGGAATGCATCTTTCTTCTGCTAGTTTTGTGCTGTAGCAGAGCTGCCATGTAATGTTATCTCAAAGCAAGAAAGCTCTCAAAAAATTCAGCCTAATTTGTGGATACAAAAAATAAAACATAATCAATTGGCATTTTCAGCCTCTCCAAATTCTCTTGTTTCAATATGCCCCGAAACATAAGTACTGTAAGTTGCATAGCTTATGTTGATTGTGGCAACTCAGAATTTCTGTCCCGAATGTGTGCTTGATGTCGATGAGTGTGCATTAAAATTTTTTTTCTCCCTCTGCAAAGCCTTCCAGAGAGAAGCTGATAGACCACTACCTAGGAATTAAATCAGATGATCCTGCCTTAGACGGAACTTACCTTGGGTAAGGATGTTCTTTTCCATATACTCCGGCAAAACATCTATGCAGTCTAAAGTAGTTCTCAGTCTCTGTATTTTGTTAGTTGCCTGCTAGAGAAAAGAGAAGACGTGTGCTCAGCCTGGTCTGTTTTGGATTAGCTGAAAGTTTATTTTAATCATTTTCTATCTTCAGGAAACCTGACTCCATTTCACCTCTGGATGATTTGGCTTTTGATATGTACCAGGATCCAGAAGTTGCTCAGATAATACGTAGACTGGATGAGAAGAAGCGCGAAGCTGTCCATCGTGAACGCTACGATTATGCCAAGAAACTCAAACAAGCCATCGCAGACTTGCAAAAGGTATTGTTGAAAGACTGTTTATCTCCTAAGCCAAACAGTGTTCCGGTGGTCCATCAGGGACCCTAGCGTTCATGTGGAATCGTAATGATTTCCGGTGTATTTTCAAAATAGTAATTTTAAAATCAGATAGCTTGATTTAATAACTTGGCTGGAAATACTGGGCCATGTACATATGTACAGTAATGTGGTTCCAAGCTAGCTTCTTACACCATCTTCTAGGTAGGGGAACGACTTGGACGGTATGAGGTAGAGAAGCGCTATGCTGTAGAGAAAGAGGATTATGATCTTGCTAAAAAGAAGAAACAGCAAATGGAAGCGTACCGCCTGAAGGTGTATCAGCAACTGGAGCTCCACGACCTTCTGGATGCGGAGCTGATGGTGGGTACTGTTATTCCTAATTCAGGAGGCTTTGTCATGTGGGTGTTGTAAACAGAAATGGCAGAGCAACCAAAATAAATTCAGGGAATGAGTTGCCACACAGGTATTTTATGACAATTACATATGGATCTTAAGTTTTCTATTTGGATTGTGGATTTCCCTAACCAAAGACTTGCACGTGGCATTTTATGAACATGCTTAGTTCTCCGTACATTACACGCCATCGAACTGTTCAGGTCTCAAGCAAATGACATTAGAATCCTGAATGTTTTGCGTAATTTCAGGGCTACCCGATGCAGGTTCATGAGGTACTTTCTCGCATTTTGAAGGGGTATAACAGGCTTATGCTGGCATCATGGCTAACCATACAGAATTAACGTGATAAAATACAGTTTTATATTGTTTTCAGAACAGGAAGCTTCATAACCTCTCCACACACGCATCCACACAGAATTATTTTCCAATTGTTTCATAAAACTGCATCCAGTGGAAATGATTACACTGCGTGTGTCTGTGAGCGAGGTCTGGTATTTACTTGAAAGCAGCAGAATCTTGTTAACTGTCAGAGTTGCAGCTGTGTTAACTCTGATTTTAGTACATCGTTAGCCTTGCTTTACAAAATCTCCTTGCCTTTCTCAGACTCGAAAACCACCTGACTTGCCTTTGGAGCCTGCGATTTATACTGACAATCCTCAGTGCCCAAAAGCTACAAATTCATCTCCTTGTGAGCACACAGAACTGCAAAAAGGAGAGCCGTGGAAAGCAGAGCCTTTGCTGGAAGAGAAGTCAGCAGATCCCACTTCTACTGATCCTGTTGTTCCCCATCAGTCCCTTCCTCCTCCTGTGACTCATCCCACAGCCTCTGGGGAAGCGTTTCTGAAAGAAAATGTAAGTAGTGTACCTCTGTTACTGCAGAAATCTATCACAGCAAATGATCTTGTATTCAGCCTTCCAAAACAACAGGGTCTTTCATGGTTATTCTCATAGCTTATATAGTATCTGAAATTGACTGTATTTCTGAGCAGTGCCCATCTCCTAATTGGCATTGGTCTTTCTCTTTCCTGATTTTTTTTGGAAGCTTTTACAAATGTTCATTGAGATTGAGGTAGAATTGATTTACAAATAGGTGAATGGAAGCAAATCGACATGAAATGACTAATCAGGGCTCACACAGCCAATATAGTAGAAGCTGAATTCTGCGTGCTCCATTAATGGCTTAATAAATCTCCTTCTGAGAGATTGTGTTGGATGAATCTACAGCAGGAAGGGAATTTGTTGGAATGTGGTTGTAGGGTAAGAGTCTTGGTGTCATCTCTAAAGAGAGGAAGAAAATCATAGTATCTAGTTATCTTGATCTTCAGGTTTTGCTGCTCCAGCATTTGGCAAAGCTAAGGAAGACTCGTATTGACTCTAGTAGCAGTAGAATTCTCTCTTAACAGGATGTTGACGTAAAATAATTTAACAAATAAAGCTTCATGACTTGCTGACTTCCTATCAACAGGTGACTTCTGTAGATGTGTGCGCTTCCACAGAAGGCATTTTGTGTTTTATTGTATTCTATAGACAAGAAATAAGTTTTATTCACAAGCACTGATTCCATTTCTTCATGATGTTCTTCGTTATGGGAACTTCAACATCTGTACTTAATTGCAAAGCGGCACTGCTTTGACAGGG